AAGAAAATGTATAGAAGAATTCACGTGCATCTTCCTTATCATGTCCACATGCTTCCAAACTTGTAGTCTTCGATGATTCACTAATTGACGGGCTGCAGGAATAGTCGAAGCCATACCCAATCGAAAAAGGATGTTATCCAAGCGCATTTCAAGTAATTGTAGTAAAACTTGACCTGTTGACCCCTTGGCTTTTCTGGCAATCCGAACGTATTGAATTAACTGTCATTCTGTAAGACCATAATGAAAACGCAATTTTTGTTTTTCTTCAAGGCGAATACAATATTGAGATTTTTTCCCGAAACGCGATTGGTTTCTAAGATCACTTTCAGCCCTAGGCCTTTTATTAGTTAGTCCTGGTAAAGCCCCCAGGCGACGTACATGTGTCCACATCGCAGCATGCACTTTATAAACAAGTGTCCTCTTTTCAAAAATATGCTTCTAGTGAGATTTGAACATGAACCAACAAAATATATCTCCCAAGCATTTACCATTACGCCATATTAACTCATTAGTTAATATTTCTGGATTTAGTCTTTATTCCCAGAATGGCATTAGTAGCATTTTGGATTGATTAATAAATCACTCCGAGTTTGCTTCTTGGTCTTCCCCTTCACACCTTAGCTTTATCTACTTTCCAAGAAGTTAGGGATTGAGTCTCGAACTCGTGACCTCTAACTTTAGCAACCTTGTTCCTTATCCATTTCACTGCTTAATCCTTTGATGTCTTCCAAGGTAAATAATTCTCAAATAGTAACATTCTGGATAAGTATATTTTGCTAAGAAATTCGTAGGCTTTATGGCTTGACTTGAGACTTAGACTAATAAACAACTAGACTCAAAATAAAATAGGGAAGTTCTAAAAATACAATTTTAGCTCATCAAAATTATTACACTTTATTCCTTACAAAAGGCAGATAAGAGAGGAAGAAGGAAAGGAATACTTTTCTTTCATTCAGACAAAGTTGGCTTGCTTGTTTATATACTAGGTCGGAAAGTGAAGCCATTTCTCATTCCAACCACAAATTAACAAAAAACAAAGGGAGTGGTAATTGAGAAAACCCATGCTGGTACATCCTGTACGAAAATAAAGGAAATGTCATTGTTGACTATCCGAAAAAGATGATGCACTTTGAATGGATTTCTAACAACAATTAGATTCGAATCTAACATTAGTAAAGCCTTGGTCTTTGATCCATGTGAGAGCTTCCTTCGCAACCATCGTTTCAGCAAGAAAAGGATTGCTGCTACAAAGAAGAGGACCTTCTTGGCTGCCTTGAAAGTGCCATCCGCATTTAGAAATAAAATGCCGTAGCTAGCTCTGCCTTGTAATGTATCCACACCAGCATCAAACTTACAAATCCAAGAAGCTGCAGCCACGTTCGCCTGGGAAGGGTTTTCCGCACCAACACTGGAAACAACACTCTCGCACAGACACTAGTTTAATTATAGTAATGTTGAAGTATTATTTTAATTGTACTTCAGGTCATTTGACAATATATATTATTGCATGACTCTGAATTTTAGTTTCATTTTCCACGCACACTAGTTTCATTATAACAATACTAAAGTGTCATTTTAATTATAGTACAGTTTCATTTGACAATAATGTGTTTTGTTTTGAAATTTCATTTTTTACACACTAGTTTCATCATAGTAACACTAAAGTATCGTTTTAATTCCACTACAGTTTCATTCGACGATCATGATTCACACAACGATGTGTAAACCATGGTCCACTGTATAACAACTGCAGAATACTGGAGTAATCACCATTATTGCAAATACAGTGTGCGGCCCATTAGCACATACGTCCTTACTAAGGCATTCCAAGTTGACAACAAAATCATCGACCAGCGGCAATTTATATCCTACACCACGGCGCGCGTTGCACAATGCGCCCAGATGCAAAACGATGTTGTTTTAAATTTTTTTTTTTTGAAATTTCCCGCCCCAGTGAATGGCAGTAGTTTTTTCTTTTAAAAAAAATTCCGCTGCTCAAGAATGTACATAATGTTATACTAGAATACACATAATTGTATACATGAATGTACATAATTATATAACAAAATATACATACACTTTTTAAAAGATAATACACATAATCTAACATAATACATAATAAACATAAACTTTTAACATAATACACATCAACTATTAACATAATACACACAAATTTTCTGATTTGGATGTACATAATTGTATAAAAAGAATGTACATAATTGTATAAAAAATGTACATAACTATATGAAACAATACACATAACTGTATGAACAAATACACATAACTGTGTGAACAAATACACATAATCCCAGCAACTTCCTACCACGCCTCCCAAAACGACGTCGTTTTGGGAGGCGCGCGGCGCACAGTGCTATATGCGCCGTGGTGTAGGGTATAACGATTGTCTCCAAGGACAATTTGTTACAACAACAATTAGTGAAATTAACTATGTTATATATTAATGTTCTTTATTCTAATAATGTAATCAGTTCTTTGTGTGGCAATTAAATTAAATAATAAAGTTTTGGGATTTTTTGTTAGCATATTTCTATTTGCATTCATAATAATTTACACTCAAATCTTGCCTTGATTAATGTGATCTTGCCTTTATTATTGTAAAAAATAATTGTGGTGGGTCTTAATTACAATCTTTTAATTTACATTATATAGCTAGTGTGTTGGAATTGAAGTATTGCATCATTCTTTCCAAAGGTTGAATCCCCAACCCTAAGGGTCCGACAGAACATCTGGGAGGATGTAAATCATGGTAACTCAACCGAATCATAGAGGCTAGACCTTTGCTTATTGTGCACAAGAAGCTCCCCACTCAACCGCTAGTGAGACTCAATCCCGGATCATTCTTTCCAAACTTCATCCCTATGACCAGAGCTACCCACTTCATCCCTATGACCAGTTGAGCTGCCCATGCAGGCTAAAGTATTGCATCATTAAATTATTAAATGAAGACAAATAAATGTGTTTGAAATTTAAATGCGAATTTCAATTGCATAGAGCGAGCATTATTCCCATTTCAATTTTCGTAACATAATTAGCTTATCAGTTAATTTTGGCTTATTTGATTACTATTTAGCTTAATTAAAAATCAATATAAGTATTTGATTAATTAGCTTTTTGTAGCAATATTTGATTAATTAACTTTTTGTAGCAATATTACTCCAAAACATCTAATTTAAGCAAATATAACAACTATCAACTACAACTAATTTACCAAACATGTTTCTACAATCATTAATATCAATTAGTCAAACCCACTAACCTAATCAACTAACAACTATTTACCAAACACTCCATTACTTTTTCTTTAATATCATTTTTCATAATGTTCATATCACTTGTGAATTAAACAAGTGTCCATTATTTCTAATCAACTTCATTTCCATTCCAATTATATTGATGAACAAACCGTTCATTCTAGATTGAATAATATGAATAATGTCAATTAAATCATGAAATCCTCCCAAAAAATTTAACATTTAACAATTTTAATAATTGTGGACTGATTATTAAGTATGTTGAGACTATACCATGCATATATATTAAATTAAAAATGTAGTGATTATTGTTGCGGATGCATGGATTTTGGTATTTTATAATCTACCATACTAATAATAAGAAGAGTCAATAAAATAAAATTAAGTCCGTGACACTAAAAAAAAATATTATATCATTTACTTTTTATAACGAAATATTCTATTAACTATTTATTATTCACATAAGGAAGGTCTTAGGTTCAAAGACACCCCCAATCAAAATATACATTGGCTGGGCATCGGACTATTCTATTTTTGCAATGAGCGTGTGATAATTAGTATAATAATAACATATTTGAATCTGAAAAAGATTTCCACAGCCAAAATTTAATGTGCCTTAGAAATCTTTAAAAATAAAAATAAAAATAAAAAAACAAAGAATTTTTTTCCTTTGCCTTTTTCTTTTTAAAAATATGAAGGGTCGTCCTACAAGTATTGAATTGAAGTTAGTATAGTTGCAGAACGATGAAACCCAAAGAGGAAAAAAAAAAAGATGAAAAAAGCGTCATCCCTTGACGTGCAAAAGAATATAATGTGTTGTACCTCGATCAGTCGGTGTGCCTCCTCCGTCCGACGCAGCAGAGCCATTTCCTGCCGGTACGAGACTTCCCCAGGTAGAGGAAGTGGGCAGCGGGAGTGTTTGACGATGGGGAGGAGTTGTTGTTGGGACGGTCCTTCCTTGTGGGGGAGTCGAGCTGGTCACGGCGGGTGGTGGTGGTGCGAGATGGTGGCCGGGCGCCATCCCTCTTGGCGTGGCGTGCCTTGTCAAAGATGACGGAGAAATCATTGGAGGCAGCCGGATTCTTTTCGTCCCAGTCTCCGAATTTAGGCAGCGGAGCGTTTTTTTCAGCCATTTCTTCGATCTTTTTGGATTCCGATCCGATCCGATCAAATGGGAAGAGCCGAGAGAAAAGGGAAGTGTGATTCTCTCTCTCCTCCTCCCGTTCCTCTTCTCCCTTTCAAACACTCCCCCAGCCCCCTTTTTTTAGTTTGTGTTGATCTCATAAAATGTGGGTTCCTATCTGATTGAGGAGGGGAGCTGAGAATGCGGGAAGCAATCTTGGGCGGTTCCTATCTTGGTGGTCTTTTTGTTTCGGGCAAACCTGGTTCTTATAAATGTATGCATGTTATGAGATGATAGCCGCTATTTGCGCTCACCGCTCGCTTCCTGTAGGATCCTGGATCCTGGATCCACCAATATTGTATTCACCACTCCACCCTCCATCTAATATATACACCCCCATTATTATTATATATATGCATGTGATGTGCTTCATCTTATGCCACGCATATTATAGTGCATGTGATGAATGTAGAAACGTGATAATTGTATTCAGTAAGACAGTAACAAACAACGATAAAGACATTACAAATTAAATATACAACAAATAGACATATAGATGAAATATAACTCTAAGATAAAATAAGTCCTAATAAGCCCCCACAAACTCATGGTGGCAAGGACACAACATTGAGTTTGTCATGTAAAAAGTAAAACCGAGAAGAGCCGAGGGCCTTCGTCGTAAAGATATCCGCTAACTGATCCTTAGTAGAAATGAACTGTACCGCCAAATCCCTGGAAGCCACCTTATTCCTCACGAAATGGTAGTCAATCTCCACATGTTTTGTCCTAGCATGGAACACCAGGTTCACGCATAGATAAGTGGCGCCCAAATTATCACACCACAACCGAGGAGGGGAGGGTAGCCAAACACCCATCTCGGCCAGCAAAGAAACCAGCCAAGTCGCATCAGCCGAAGCATCCACAAGGCCCTTGTACTCAGCCTCGGTGGACAACCGCGCTAATGTCTTCTGCTTGCGACAAACCCAAGAAATCATATTGTTACCAAGATAAACGGCAAAGCCACTCGTAGACTTTCGATCAACCAGGCAACCACCCCAATCCGAGTCCAAAAAAGCATGAACAACAAGAGAGTCTGACTTAGAGATATGAAGGCCAAACTGTAAAGTACCCTTCACAAAGCGCAACACACGCTTCAAATCAGTCCAATGAGTAGTCGTGGAAGCATGCATCGACTGACACAACATGTTAACTGCATACGACAAGTCGGGACGAGTAATAGTAAGATACTTAAGAGCGCCCGAAAGTTTGCGAAATGAAATAAGATCCGGCAACGGGTCAGGCTCACTAGGAGACCCCGACTTCGAAGTAGAAACAAGAGTAAGGATGGGCTTACAGTCCTCCATGCACGACGCAGTATATCAGTCATATAACGACGTTGAGACAACACCAACGCACTATCAACGTCCACAATCTCAATACCCAAGAAAAACCGTGGAGTACCCAAGTCCCGAATTTTAAAAGCATCAGCGAGACGGTTAAACAATACAGACACAAGCATAGAATCACTATCCATGATAAGAATGTAGTCCACATGGATAAGCAAGTACACACGACAATCAGACTTAGCATAAATAAACAGGGAGGCATCGGTCTTGGACGACTGAAAACCAATCAGGTGGTTGTTTTTTCCCGAGTGGCGGGCTACTATGGACCAAACGCCAAGTTTCATTATGCAAAAGGACATTGAACTCTAGGTCCATAGCAGCTCCACAGTCGGTTTGTCCCCGACCGGGTACCACTCAGGAACTCAATCGAGCGACCAGGCTCCGCAGTCGGAGTGTCCTCGCCCGTGTGCCATGGCCCCTCAGGACACCGCCTTGGCAATCGGACGTCCCCGGTTGGGTGCGCATCCAGAGGCGGTTACTGGCAGATTTCACGGAGACTTCCTTATTTAATTTAAGTAACTTCATTTGTTAGCTTAGACAGTTATGGTACGAAGTAGGCCGGATTCCATATCCGAATTGGCTCTACGTCAGGCCTACTTCCCATATAGAGTTTGTTAGGAATAAAGTGTAATGGTTTTGATATGCCAAATATGTATTTGTAGATCCCCCAAGTTTTATTTCTTAGGTCTAGTAGAGTCTTAGACCATGATCAGGAAATTATTTAAGTTGGAAAAGAGAAAAACAGAGGAAGATGCATGAAAATAGAAGAAGAAGATATAAAGCCTAAAATCAAGAATTTGTCTGGAGAAAATGACAAATTGAAGAAGAAGATGAATGATACAATATTCACGTCGCTACTACTTAAAGAAATATCCCAGAAGAATTTTTGTGAAAGAAAATTAAGTTTGGAAGAATGCATGAAATTGACTTGGAGATCAAGCATCTATGGAAAGAAAGAAGTACATCAAAGAAGATTGGAGATTTAATCAATAGTCGTACGAACGAAGTGGATGATGTTTGATATGTTATGTGAAATGGCTCAAGTTTGAAACTCATTATCAACAATTTTACAAGGTAAAATTTGAGAAGCCAAAATTAATTAAATCTGATGAAGTTCACTTGGGTGGCAATTAAGATGCAATTGCACTTGGGAGCCAATTCAAAGGAATTGGGGGCCGATTTCATATCAATTGAAATTGGGAGCTAGTTTCAGAGAAATTGAAATCAATTGAAATTGTGAGCCAATGTAGAATTGAAATTGGGAGCCAATTGAAGTTGTATGGGATGCAAATTCAAGTTGGGGACCGATTCAAAAAAGACATGGAGATCAAATTGAATTGATGGGAGCCAATTTCGAAGTCAAAGTCAACAATTGTCAAAGTCAATTCAAATTGGGAAGCAATTGAAAGCACCAGGAGAAGTTTGGGAGCCAATTGCAAGTCAAAGTCAATTGGGAGCCAATTACAATGGAGAAATTCAAATTGGGTGCCAATTACAAGCCAATTGTAATTGGGTGTCAATTGCAAAAGAGAAATTCAAATTGGGTGGAAGTTCAAAACCAATTTGAAGTCTGAGAACACCCAGACGTGAGAATGAAGAAGAAGAAGAAGAACTTACAGTAAGAATATTCTCACAAGAAAAAATACTAGTCTAACTAGTATGGGATTAAATTAATGAATATTTTTAAATCCCAAAGATACAAGGACCACTTCAGAGCTAATCAGAGAAGCCGTTCTACACCCAGATATTCCCACTCAACGTTAAACCAGAGGAATATCAAATGAAGTTTGAAAGCTCATTTACATGGAGATGAAGATCCATCAAACGGCTAGCTTATCCTTTCTGACATTTTTGCAAAAGATAAGATAAGATCTCTGACAAAAAGATACAAGATTTCAAAAATGAGAGCGTCTCTTTCCAACGGACAGATTCTCATTACCAGCTATAAAATGATGAAGATATGAAGACTTGAAGAAAACGAACTTGAAAAGAGCAGTAGAGCAGATCACGAACAAGAGAGCAGAAAATTCGTACTCATCAAGGAGATCGAATAAAGCAATTAAGCTTAAAAGAGCATAGAGCAAAAATCTCATTTTGGTACAGAGCATATCAAAAATCTTTAAGTGAGAAGTGAGAAAAGAAAAAGAACTCAGAGAGCTTCAAAAGAGAAATATTCTGAGAGTTCTTAAACACAGCAAAACAGAGCAAAAATATCAAGTGCTTTACTTGATATATTCAAAGAGTGAAAACACTCAGAGCTATCAAGAGAAATCATTCCAGAGTGTTTATCTTCATCGAAGAGACCTGCGCATCATTGAAGATCATCTACAGAGTCTCAGAAGTTGGAAGCAAGACAACACTTGTTTTGGACCAAAACAAGATAAGGGAGGAAAGTAGCACGGAGCTGTGAAATCCTGGATTGTCACACGGAGCTGTGAGATCCGAAGCAACAGTGTCGGAGGCACTAGGCGTGATTAGTGCCGGCTTTGTGATCAAAGCACTAGATCACGGGATACGTTTCTACCGGAGTGTGGAAGACGGGGGGAAAGTAACGCGGAGTCGTGAAATCCTGGGATAGTAGCGCGGCGACGTGAAACCCGAAGCAGCAGTGTGGTGTCACTGGGCGTGATTAGTGCGGGCTTTGTGATCAAAGCACTAGATCACGGAAATTCATTGTATCTTGGAACCAAGGAGTGGTAGATATAGTGAATTGCTCTTGGAGATAAGAGCAAGTGGAGTAGGAGGATTACACCACCTCGCGAACCACTATAATTGTCTTATGTTCTTTACTGCTTTCTTTACTTACCGCTCTTTACATATTCGCTCTACACGAGATATACTGCTCACACAATCTCACACACACTTTATGTTTATTTAATTCCGTTGTGCACCATACTCTAACAATCTAGTTAAGAGTTTTGGTTTATCTCTGGCTTAGCAACTGTTGTGCTGTGCGAAAAAGTTAGAAAGTCTATTCACCCCCCCCCCCCTCTCTAGACTTTCTCCTTACCTCTTTTGGGACCAACAATTGGTATCAGAGCAGACTGTCTATTTAGGCCGATTTGCTATCTAAGCACGTGCCTAACTGGGTCAACCGTTTCTGACTGCTAGACAGATCCATTCTACAAAGTGTGTGAATTGGATTAATCTTTCATATCTCTCGTGATGATGATGAAGAAAGATTTAGCTCAAAATCTATTATTCTCTCTTGATAAATTTGATGATTGGAAAGTTCGTATGCAGGTACACTTATCGGCTTTACACGATGAAATGTGGGAAGTTATTTCCACTGGCCCTATAGAAATATTAAAAGTCAGTACGGCGTTTGTTATATCCCCGGATGCTCCACAGTACGTACAAAAGCCAAAATCGGAATGGACATTGGACGATAGAACGCGGAATAATCTTGACAATATTGCCAAGGATATTCTATTCAAAGCCGTTGATGATACAATATTTTGGAAGATCCGAAAGTGTGCCACTGCCAAAGAAATATGGGAAACTCTCATCAAGATTGGCGAAGGAGATGAACAAGAAAAAGACAATAAGCTCACAATCGCCATGAAGAAGTTTGAAGATTTCATAATGCTCTCAAATGAAAGTATTGCAGACATGGAAGCTTGAATGATTAAAGTTCTTGGAGAGATTAGTGATCTTGGCAAAAATATTAGCCAAAAAGAAATTAATCTCAAAATCCTACGAGGCTTGCCATCTGCATGGGATATGAAGGTTACGGCTATGCGCGATCACCGAGATCTAAGAATGTTGTCAACAGACAAATTATTTAGTGATCTAAAAGCATATGAGTTCGAAATGAAGGCCAAAGATGATGATGTTCATGAAGCTTGAAATTCTGCTCTAATGGCCGAACAACCGTCAACCTCCAGGTCAGTAGAAAATAATGTTGATTATATGACTGACGAACAGTTTGCTCTTTTTGTGAAAAGATTTAAAAGGTTTATGCGAAAAGGAGACAACAAAAATTCTGCTCGTGGAAAATTCATCTCTCGCATAACGCAAGAAGAAAAAGTCGAAGAAAATAAGGATTTATGCTACAATTGCCGCAAACCCGGATATTTTAAAATAAATTGTCCACATCCGATCGTTAGCAAGTATCAAGGCAAGAATGTTGAATCTACACCGAATAAATCCGAAAGCAAAAGGTTCAAGCGCGACAAAAGGAAAGCTCTCGTTAGCAACGAACCGAATGAAAATGGTGATTCGGAGGAATCATCATCAAGCGATGAAAGTTCAAGTTCGGATGATGATACGGTGCTGATATGCAAGCTAATTGAGTTGAGTACAATTGAAGATTGTCTTATGGCTCTTGAAGCAGATGAAGAAGAGGTAACATCTAATTCTTTCAATTCTGTTAATTCTTCTTTTTCTCGTGAATCTATTGACAATCTAATGCGAGAATGTCAAGAGATTATGCTCACTCATCCTCAACTCAAGGAGCACAATAATATTCTAATTCTTGAAAAAAAAAGAAATGAATAAAAAATTGCAAGATGCTTTACTTGAAGTGAGTAAATTGAATGATGAAAATATTCATCTTCAAGAAGAGTGTAAAGCAAGAGAGGTTAGAGAACATAATCTTAGAGCTACTATTGCTACGTTCACTAATTCGTCTAAAATAATAGATAAAATGGTGAGCATGCAAAAGCCATCAGGAGATAGAACCGGAATGACTCCACATGTTCTCAAACCCCTCAAAATCTGACTAATTCTACTAGTACTTTAAATAATAAAGTTCAAGTGGTAAAATTTGTTAAAAGTCAGAATAGCACAATGAGACAAGGACTTGGCTATCAAACAAATGCAAAGATGAATGTTGAAAGGCCGAAACAAGTTTATACTACGGCAAAGCAACAAAAATTCTACAAGCAAAGATATGCCAAAGAGTCAAGTGCAAAAAGATTTCATAGAAAAGATGGAAGCTTTTCTAGAAATAAAGT